GGCCTTTAAGCCTATGTAAAACAGGCGGAAACCTTGAAAGCTGAAAAAATAGAAAAATGAAAATTTAACAAACCAAATTGGTGACAATACAATGAACATAAACAGAAACCTTGAAATCGTGTCTCACGCACTGTCCACTGATCCACGCAAGCTCAACAACCGACAACCACTAGTCACGAATAAAGCAGCTACATATGCTAATAAATTGCCAATGCGATTTAGCAAATTAGGCACCAAAAACAAATAGACTCAATTTTGCAAGTAATAATTGGGAATAAAAAACAGAAGGCATCCACAGACACAAAAACACAGACACAAAAACCATTCGCTGATCAAGTGACGCAATATGAGGCCTTTAAGCCTATGTAAAACAGGCGGAAACCTTGAAAGCGGAAAAAATAGAAAAATGAAAATTTAACAAACCAAATTGGTGACAATACAATTAACATAAACAGAAACCTCAGAATAGGACAGATATTTCAAATAAGTCTGTTACATTATTTCTACCAGAGGGGAACAGGAGATGAGTGCTGCGACAAACATATTTACGGGAAAAAATTGTCGTACGCGGTTGCAACACACTTGCTGTCGCAAGTGTTACACAAAGGCAACGCTGCGCTAAGCAAACACTTGTGAGAACACGACCAAAAGGCAGCTTTATCAAATTAAATAAGAAAAAAGAGAAATAAACCTCGAATTAGCAAAAACTCGGCTACGTGTCGCATTCGAATCTGCAGCCTACTGCAATTAAGAGATTTTGAGTCTCACGCACTGTCCACTGATCCACGCAAGCTCAACAACCGACAACCACTAGTCACGAACAAAGCAGCTACATGTGCTAATAAATTGCCAATGCGATTTAGCAAATGAGGCACCAAAAACAAATAGACTCAATTTTGCAAGTAATAATTTGGAATAAAAAACAGAAGGCATCCACACTAACTTAGCATGTAACAAACCGCAAAACATAAAGCCACCTTTTTTTTATAAGTTATGCATTTTAAAAAACTGCGAGATATATTGAGGTAAAAAAAATCAAAATAGAGTTTTCATTATTGTTGTTGCTCAAAACAAATCACTTTTTGCTGTTCATTTGATGAATTAGAAAGGCATCAACAGTCTTGATTTATTACTATTCGAATGTCAAAGCACATGCTATGAAAAAGCTGTATGGGTGCCCCAAAAAAGGGCAACAAAGTTTGCGACTTAGCTTGGAAAAAAAGATGGTTATTCCTAAAATACTTGCTTCGCAAATGTAAACACATGCATATAATATATTATAATGAACACTTGAAACATCTAATAAATGAGTTTCCAGAAGCTAATGAATTAGAAACTATTCATACAAATGGCTTCTATTTCTGCATGGTACGACGAGCGCATTCGCCCAGCAGTGTTCTTCAGTTCATAATAATAGTTTTGAATTCCCCCAAACACACGCCGACACGAAGATTTTTCTCACCAAACGTCGCAGTAAGAGGCGACTAGGCCGATCTAATCTAGTACAAAACCTCAGGCAAAAAATAAAATCTAAAAAAAAGGAAATTTTAACAAATCAAGTTTGTGAAATTACAGAAATACAAAAGCAATTTTCAAATAGAGTGGATAACTGAAATTCTAACAAGCTCAAAATAATTTTTCACTATTTCCAAAGAGGGGACCGGAAGATAATTCTAGTGAACAAAATTAATTACGCTGGAACAAGTCTAGTACCCGATAGCAATACCTTTGCTTATAGCAAGAATAATTAGCTGTAAATAGTAATACCTGAGAAATAACTAACAAAGGTAAAATCTTCGAAAAAATAAATCTCAAAATTTGTGACTACATATCGATCATTTTTTTTTTAAAAAAAAAGAGCCAACAGACAGTTGGAAAAGAGTAAATGAATACCAGTAAACAGAAGAAAATTGATGACTTATTTTAGAACACTCAACTTATGAATTTCAAAGAATAAAGATGACCTTAAAATTCTTTGAATTTCTAAAACATAGCCAACTGTCAGTTGGAAAAGAGTAATGAACGCCAGGAAATTGAAAAAAAAACCGACTTGTTTTTTTTTCAAAAATCTTCAACTCATAAATAAAAAATTAGATGGCCTTAGAGCTCTTTAAATTTGTAAAACAATTTATGATGGACGCTTTTTTGTTAAAATTAACCCAATTTGAGAAAACTGAATCAATAGGTGAATTTTTTATTTCGCTGGGAATTCTGTTAATTAATTACCATTTTCAAAATAAGAAGTCGATCACGTTTTTCGTGACCTTAACAATTTTGCTGTTCCGTAGTGGAGTTTGAATTCCTTAAAACAACAGAAAAGCACAGAACTTAAAAAGAAATCACAAGTCAAACCGCGAAGAATCAAAAAAGCGCGTGAACAAATTTTAAGAATTTTTCCTGAAAAAAAAAAAAAAAACAAAAAAAATCAGCAAGACCTTTATAAGTCTTCACTACGTTCATTACTCTTAGAAAATACATGATCGACACTTATTTATTTACCCCAATTTGAGAAAATTTGATCACTAGGTAAAATTTTTATTTCGCTCCGATATTCGATAATTAAATTCCATTTTCGAAACTAGAAGTCAGTCACGTTTTTCGTGGTCTTTACGCTTTCGCTGTTCGAAAGCCGAGCTTGCTTTCTATTTGGCAAAAGAAATGAACTGAATGTTTTTAAAAAATGAAAAGTCAAGCAACGAAAAAGACCATTTGAGCCTGAACAAATTTTAGGACTTTTCCTGATAAGAAAAAAAAACTAAAAAAAAACATCGCGACCTATCTAAGAGTCTGAAATGTTCTTCGATTTTTAAAAACCTTTAGGTTATTAACTGATCACTGCAATAAAATCGCCAAACTAAAATGAGCGAACTCAGATTTTTCCTATTTTGAAATGTAAAACAAATATCTAACGGTAACCGGTTACAGCTGATAATGGTTTCCTGGAACGAAGCGAACATTTTTCGATATTATGATTTTTGATACTTCGGTATTATGAATTTTGATTATGAATACTCATGTACAATTAACACAGAGGCGACGCTGAGCTGCGCACGACTTGCGATAGAAAAATAAATTATACTGATTAGAATCAAATGGAACAAGAAATCAAATTCAAAAACTCAAAAACAACCTTCAAAAATCATTTTTGTCATAGAAATTGCAAAAAGTTCAAAGAAGTCCGGAAAAAAAACCTGCACCATAGAACTAAAAAGCCGGTAAAAAGAGGCACTCTAAATCTAAATTAGTCAACAAATTTCAGTTTGTTGACTAATTTAAATTTAGTCCCGACTGGAAGCGAACTTTGTCAAGCATGGTTGTAATAGAAACTTAAAGAAAGCTGACCTTCAAAAAAATTGGGCTACGGGAACTAAGCCGACAAAAATAAACAGACGAACGATAATCCGAAAAAGCACCAAAACTCAGGTTTACAAAAAAGAGGCCCGGCAGAATTCCAACCAGAGGCCTTTGTCGTCTCAGTAGATAGGTCGCCTAAATTCGGCTACGTCTCGGATTCGATCTGCGACCTAGAGATTTAGACTCACGCACTAAACACTCAGCCATACATACACTGGCCGCAAATAAAACAGAGAACAGATGTTATAAGATTTTCAATTCTGCAGATCGTGATCATAGCAAAAAAGCCACCAAATAATGAACACTTTGCCACCAAATAATGAACACTTTTATTTGCCAGTTAGGTAAAAAAAAGCTTCCTAATAATTCACTAACGCTCGCAAGCTGGCTAGTGTACATAAAATACGCATACGATGGAGTCCAGGCTCAATGAGGTCAGTCCTGTGAACAAAGTTATTTACGGAAAAAAAAGTCTTGTACCCGATTGCAATACGCTTGCTTATCGCAAGGGTAAAAAAGCAACAATGAACATCATGAAAAACCAAAAACAAACAATTGGAAAAGTTGTGTTTGTGAACTCGATGTGGACCTCGATACGGCAAAATAGATGGCACCCCCCCCCCCCCTCCACGGTTGGTCCTGCATCGAATGGGATCGGGGTTTGAAAAAAAAAATCAAATCAAGAAAACAAAAAACTGAAAACCCAAACCAGCTTAAGATAAAAATTGTTACACAGACAAGACGCGGAGCTTCGCACCACGTGCAATACAGCAGAAATATATCAGGGCAAGTTGAGACAAAAGCCATTCAATCGAAAAATTAGTTAACAAAAACGTTGAAAAAAATACAGCCGCTAGAACTTAGCATCGAAACGAGAAAAACGAAGTCAATATTTTCTGTGCAGACAGCTGTCGAGCCAAAAAAGTCATTTAAGATTGATCGTTAAAACATTTTGAAATTCATTAAAAACTTGAGACTTCTCGAAGGTCTCGCACGCAAAAGAAACTTTTTCGCTCTTCAAAGGACAAAAATGAGGTAATCAGGCCGAGTTGCAAATTTTAGATTCAAGATGAAAAATTTCGAAAAATTGGGTATTTAAAAGCCAACATTTTCATGTCTGTTGGTTGACAAAAGTATTAGCAAAAAAACTGTTTCAGCGATTTTGTTAAAATGCTGTTTACACGTAAAAATCAACACAGGCGAAGATTTTCCTGTAAAAAAACGATAAAAAAATCATCAAGACTTATATAAGAGTCTTAACTACGTTCATCGACTCTAAAAAATCTGGCATGGTCTCGGATTCGTTCGTTTTATCTTTCGCGTCTTAAACCTGCTTTTTACTGGACCCACATTTTCATGACAATTAACTTCATTAATAAAGCTATCAAGTGATTCTGTTAAACTAGTTGTTAACCCGAAAAAAGTCTTTTTTTTTCCAGTTTGATATCGCTTGCTAATCGCAAGCGTAAAAATACATGTTTTGTCGTAGCAACTTATTACCGCTAAAGAATCGTGTCTATGCATGACATCGAGTTGCAGAAAAAAGAACAAACAATAATATGCTTATCAGACCCAAAAAAACATGCTCGTCGTTTTTACGCGGCTAACTAAATCGTTTTTTGAATTTATTTTTCATTCCATTGCAGTCGAAGGAGTTCAGATTCAGAGCGTGAAGAAGCTCTGGTGGATGGAGGAGCACGACAACCCAGTTCACAACAAGGATGTGGCCCTCGACACAGAACTGTTGGCAGGATGGCTAGAACATGTCTGCCCCACCCTCGGCCTTTACACCCTCCGAACACTGCCAGGCAATGCCATCTTCGAAATCGTGGGTATTTTCATAATAATCAGCTTTTGTAGTTACTTATCCAAAATTCAAGCCGAAGCGAATTTATAAATATAAATTTATTTAACTATGGAAATATGCCTCGAAAGAAAAGCGGTTTCAAAATTTGTTTCCCTATAAGTCATTTTCTGTGTGGGTGTTGTGATGAGAGAACGAATTGAACGTGTAGACCTTATTGATTTTGGCATTATTGACAACAGTTGATTTCGAAAGATGAGCAAACGAAGTAGAAAAATTTTAAAAAAAAACTGAAAAGGAAGCGCTGAATAAAACTTCAAAATTTTAGGTAGTACAACTTAGTTTTTCACTACCTACATTAAAAATTTTATTTCATAAAATTTAATCACTCAAATTACTTCCTCGAAATTGAACTGACGATTTTATACCAGTTCTTCTCCACACTGGGACCTTTTTTTGGAAAATTTGTGCGGTGGTTGAAATCACGACTGAAAGGGCTTCAATTAAAATATATCACTCAACCCATTTAGGGGTTGCTTGTCATATCTGAATTTTCGTGGAAAAAAAAAGAAAAAAAATAAAACACCCGAATACAAAGTTCCTACCCATTTTCAATGATCGGAACAAACACACCCCAAGATATTTTACTCCCCAATTTGAATGGTCGGAACAACAAGTCATGACACAGGCAAAGCGGCATTTCGCAAGTGGCAAGAAAGAGTTAAAATCGCAAAAAAGCAAAAATAAGAAGCAAAAATAATAAAAAAGCAAAAATAAATAAAATCGCAAAAAAGCAAAAAAAAATCCGCGTACATCCCATTTTGAGCCTCCGACCCACAGATTGAGAGTTTTAACAATTGTTACATTTGCCCTCCTTGTATTCTAAACACCATTCACCAATAATACCAACAAAACACATGCGGAAAAAAGACATGAACACCACACATATCCTCAAATGGAAAATTTGTGCTTTGCTGAGCACCAACTAATGCGAGTTAGGTTGTAAATATGTGCACTGACCGAATAACACAACGCTCGCAAGTGTAATTGGCTCAAATGATTCTAAGTTTTATACTTTTTAGTTTTCAGCCGAAGATAGCCTGTTGCGATCGGTTCGAACCCCGAGCTACCGTTCAGGATGTAATGGCTTTACCAATTGAGACTCAGAAACAATATAGCCAGGGGTGATATATCACAATAGGTGGCAGATTCAAGTTAATAGCTGGATAGCTTTTTATTATACTTCAAACAGTATTTATCATTTCAAACCCCAATTTTTTTGATTAAGTGTTAAGTTAAGTTTTTGAATAAAATTATATCTGGCAGAGTAATTTATTAAGAACAACTATCAATTGATTGAAACTGAAACGACTGTATTATGCATTATATTTCTTGAATTTAATACATGGACTATGCCCAAAATTACCACCTATTGTAAAATATCACCCATCCAGGCTCCATATAAGTGGCTTACGGAATTTTTCAGTAGGATAGGTTTTCGGAAAATTTCAAACATTCGGTTGACTTGCATTTAAGAGGTCCTGATACCTTTTCTGAGGTCCCCAGAACGGGATCTTTTATCACTGTTTTGGGTCAGCTTAAAACTTTTTCCGAGGCCCCTAAAACACTATGGAGAAACTGTGCAAAAAAGTCATTTTAGGAACCTTGTTTAAAATAAATTTTTGTGTGAAAACGAGCTTTTTGAGTCTGAAACCTCAGATTTCTCCTTATTGTTTGTAGCTAAAACAGAAGCGGTCGTCCCATTTCCATTAACCTGTCCTATTCGAGTATTGTGATTTCATCTTGTCCGTCAATCAGTAACTATGGCTTTCCCATGGTTCGCTGAGAGCGGCCCCCTTTGACAGTACTGAGTAAAACCTATTCTGGGGGATAATTTTTGGTACGGAGAGCCGAGCAAAACGCGCGTGACCAGTTCAAGCGGGCAGTTTTTAATTAGTGCGGAGAAACGAGAAAAACTCGCGCGACAGGTTCAAGCGGGCAGTTGCGGAGAAACGAGAAAAACTCCTAATGTTCCCTGTTATGTTGTTCAGTTGAGCCATTCAGCGACAGCAACGAGGTTGTCCCACAAGATGTCAAGTGTTAGAGATGTTAGCTTGACTGGACCGTTGAAGTGGAGGTGGTGAATGTCACACGGACTAGCGCAACAGTTTGGGCGATTGTTTTTTTTTGTCTAACCTCGACAAATAGCTACTTAATTGCGTGTTATATCCACAGCGGAGTTGAAGAGTACGTCGTTAATTCTGTGAAGGCTGCTTGTTCCGAAGCTATTTCTGGAGCTTGAGAGCCCCTCGGTTTGAAGGGAAGTTCAGTAACCTAGTTTCGCATCTTATTTGAACGAATTGTCTTAGAGCTACTTTGCTGGTGTAATGTGATCATTTTCATCAAGTTATTTTTTGATGTTACCACAGTATTTTCGCCAAGTTTTCTTCCATAAGTCTCGACATTGGCTTGTGGTTGGTTGCGTTGTGGTCACATCATTTTTGTTGATGGCAGCCAAATAAAAAATGTTTGCCCAACTTTTCATTGTGTTCTTTTGCTGGATGTGACATTTTTATGCAGCTGGTTACAATTCTAAGTGCTCTTTTTTCGAGTTTGAAGATATTTCCCACGAAGGCAAGACTGTGTTTTTGCTCGCAAGACTGCGTGCTGCACGACTGCGTTTTTAGAGCTAAGTTAATTTTCTAAAGGTGCCCGGACAGGAGCTGCGAAAATCAGAACGCTACGCCTAATGGCCTTATAAGTACAAAAGAGTTTCTTTAATGCGCCCCCGGTTTGAGCCTAGGAGTTTTTTTTAAATTAGTTAAAGCGTGTTTGGACAATTTTATAATTTAGGTAAAATACTCAGTGAAATAGAAGGGATTATCAAAGGTGACTCCTAAAAGTTGAGATTTTTGAATGGTAGATAGTTTTTTCGAGTATCTTTTCGGTAATCATATTACAATGATTCTTTAATGCTTTATTCCAGATTCTTATTGTTCTGAAAATTTGTCTGCAGATAGTTTTAAACTGCGTTTTTAAAGCCCAACATTTAAAAAACATAGGTGGGGCTGTACCATGTAGTTTACGTTCAGTCGTGTTATATCCAGTGGTGATGATAGAAAAACCATCTGCATATGTTGTTTAATTGATGTTTTTGGCAGATGGAAGTGTCATTGATCATATGTATATATTGAAGAATAGGCAAAACACCTACTTGCTGCACGCATTGTTGTATTCGTCGCATTCTTTTTTCGTTCCTAAATTCATACACAAGTAACACAAGTTGCTTTGGCTTGTAGATATGTTGTTATCCGTATTTTGTGTTGTTTGGGAGAGTCGAATTTTTAGTAGCATGCAAAACGATACCGTGATCCACTGTGTCAAAAGTTGCAATAAGGTCTAAGGCAACCAAGAGTGTGTCAGGGGTTATGCGGTTTGAAGCAGTGTTTTTTGACCTCTGTTTTCTAAATTCGTGGTGATCTACTAGGGGGAGACGCTGAAATCACGCAGCAAGCTACTTTTAATCAATTTAGCTAGTAGGGATAAGAGCACTTTGTGAGCTTCATTTTTGCTGTTGTGCGGTTTCAAAAAAAAAAGATAGAGTCGATCGGCCTCCCAGATTTGCAGAATGATTCACGAGTTGAGAGTGAGTGATACAAGCTAGTTCTATAAGGAAGTTGATACCTTTCTCTCCGGGGTAGTTCAGATAAATGGTCACAATAATGTCCGGCCCTAAATCTTTCCTTTTCTTGTTCAGTTTCATTTAGGTTGTGATGACCTCTGGAACAATTATGGTGGATTTAAAACGCCTTTCTTTTAGTCTGCTGAGCGCGCTGCATTTCTCTTTATTTGGGATGCGCGGTTGAGGACAATTGTTAATTGAAGTGAGTGCCACATTTTTTCGAATCATACAATGGTTAATTCAAATTTATGGGTTGATTTTGTGCATTTTCAGCTGATTTGCCTGCTAAAGAGGTGGCAGTTTTTCATAAATTGTGACTAACTTCTTTGTGGGTGAGGGTATTAACGAATTCAAACTATTTATCGCGTTAGTTAAAAGTATATATGAAAATTTTGCCGAATGTTATGAAAGTTAAAGTTATGAAAGTTCTTTTTAATAGTTCAAAAAAATTGTCATCAAAAAAGGGTTAGTACGATTGCCTGATGATCAAAGCCAAGGCAAGACTCTGGGGTCTAGCTAACATTCAATACCAGGTTTGCACTAGCAAGACTTATGTCGGGTGCCTTTCACAAATTGAGATTCTCATTTATGACTACATGGTCTGAGTCATCAATTTCTTTGGCTAGTGTAGTTCCTTTAGCAACCTCGTCAAATTCAGAGAACCAGAGAAAGTTATGAGTAATTAAGTCACCGAAAAAAATTAGATTCCCCGAAATTGAGTATTTGATTTATGGACGAGTTGTAACCAGAGTCGCAGCTTGAGTCTAGTGAGCTGTACACATTAGTTACATTTATATGATTTTCTTCCAATTTTAATTCTATTCCTCTGTTTTCTCAGTGTGAGTCTTGAGGGTCCAATTTATTTTCTAGGAGCTTAACCTGTTTTTGATGAGAAAAACCTCTTCGCGGCAGTATCCAAGTCATTCTTACAGCATGGCACAAATAACGCACTTACCTTCTGCAACATAACATCGTAGCCCAATTCTTGTCCGATTTCCCATAAACTGGTCTCGAATAGCTTTTGGCAAAAAACTTGGATAAACTATCAATTTGAACTTTGATTGTTTTTCTTTCCAACAGCCAAAACTTTATATGGAGTGCTATAAGTTTGAGGGATATGGGGCATCAATATGAACAATTAGATCGCCTCAAATCAATTTGGAATGATTTTGACTGCAGGATCATTTGCCACGCTGAAATAACACGTGCTAACACTTTCCTCGCCAAAGATAAATTCTGACAAGCGCGCATAAATTAGTACAGAACCTTTCCAAGCTTACAATTTTTGATAACCAATTAATTTAGCAAAAAATTTTACAAGTAAGATATCTTTTCTCATTTGAACTCAGGGAGGCGATACTTTCTGTGGTACCAAAAAATTGTCGCTGAGAACTACTATTCGAACGCCGAAACTGATCTCAATAAAAACACCAAGCATATATAATCCAATACTTTCTCCAAAAGGTGCAACAATAACTAACTAGTATATCATATCACCAATTGCTTCTGTTTAACTTTCAAGTGTTTTTTTTTTAAATTAAAATGAGTAGTACTCGGTCTTTTCTGCTCATTCCGATTTAAATCTAAGCTTTGCCTTTTCCTGATTAACAGCTAAAAGGATATCTAGCTTCTATAATCAGCGAAAGGATACATGCAATATATATGCTTCATAGCCTCGGAAATGAGGAAACAGGCCAAGACGTATTCTTACATTTTCAGTTCCAAGAGTTTATCTTACTCTTTTTTTTATTAATGTACTCGTTTGTTGTTTTAGAATATGTAAATTTGGCAATGCGTCTAGCTTGAAGCAGTCTCCTTCTCTATCGGATGATCTCAACTGCATGTCAAAACTAAGGAAAAACTCAAATGTCTAAAACCTAGTTAATAAATTTTACTACTTGATTGCAATAATACACGTATAAAAACACTAGTTAAATCGTACTAATTGATTGCAAAAATACACGTCTAAAAACTATTACAAAATGATAAAACACAAAGTCGTTCACGCTGGAATCACACTCAAATACAGTTCGATATGTTTTTTTTCAACACCCATATTCAGTTCACTTTTGAGCTATCTTGTTCGATTGGGTTTGGCACAAATAACCTGAAGAGATGCAGAAATATTGCGAGCGAAGCTGTGCCTAAAGAGGCTGCCACGACTGATATTGCGATAAAAATAAACACGAAGAAGGCTCCGAACACGAAAAACGCCCCCTCCACAAATACTATAGAGCACAAAGCTACAAATAGAGAGAATACAATAAATGTGAAAGTAACAAAACATGGCACCACTGAGACGGCTATCATGATGCCGAAGAAGACGGCTGTTAAAACGTGGTCGCCAGCCCACATTCGAATGGATTCAAGAATGACATCTAGATTGGAAGAGCAAAGTGATTTGGAGTTACTATCACAATGTTTCAAGTTGTGTTCGTTTCCAGAAGATCGTCGGCTCATTCTCTTGTCTGAAAAAAGCAGGAGAAATTTTCCATAAGCAATGGGGGTGGGATCAGATTTTCGAACATTGAGAACGACTAAATTGGTTTTGCGAGCTCTCCCAAATCACTAAACAGACACTATTCTGATCAATTTTTCTGCGAACGTCGAATCTTTAAAAAAGAGCAAAAATGTTCTTGGAAGGTTTCGACCCCCAAAAAACGCGATTTCGGAACGCTCTCCCCCCTCAAAAATATTATATATTGGTGCCGAAGTCGCTTTTAGAAAAATTTCAGGATCTGTCGGCCAAATTGGATACCTTGAAATAGTACCAAGGAAGCGGAACAAATTGAAATGTCTTCAAATGATTCCACATTCGCTGACCTACACACCCTCATGGTTCCTCCTTTCCGTTTAATTCCAGTGTTTGGAACAAATATAGAGAGAAGTAGAAAGCAGATGAACTCAAAAAATCGGTGTATATTTGTTTAAAACAACAGAATAAACTGAAAGAAAGCAGACAAAAAATGGGAAATAATTTCAAAAAATAAACATGGATTTGAACATTTAAAAAAACCTTTCGATTAGTTAAAATAAAGAGCACAGCTTATGAGACAAAAAAAACGTATGCAGAAAAAAATTAACTGGTCTATCGGCGCTCAAAATGCTATGCATTCTCTGCCAAATCTTGACGCCACTCACAGAATTTGTTTCACTAAGCCGGGTTTCACTAAAATCCAACTGTTTACTACTGATCTTATAAGACTAGCCGGTAACCAAAAACGTTCACGCGACAAAATTTTTGCGGGATGGAAGACAATAGCTCTTTCAAGAGTAATAACTATATATTTTTATGCAAATTCACGAAAATCTGAAATCGAAGATCATTCAAGAGGAACTTATCTAGGTTTAGAATGTGAAAGTTTGGTTCATTAACTGAGACGAAGCAGATCGCAACATTTGTAATACAGCACAAACATAGCATGGCAAACAGGCCGCCAAAAAGATAAAATTAGTGACACGGCAATTTTTTTTAAAAAGACTAGAGTGTAACGCACCTTCGGTGCTTCGAATTTATGATAACATGAAAAACTGGGAACATGATCTGGAAACCAGATCTGCAGGCTTTTAGTGAACTCTGAAAGCACCCAATTACATGGTAATTTCATATTTGATATTTTTTAATTCCTTTTTTTCGTCATCTCGAAAACGTCAAATCTCGAAAAGTACAAGTATTTGAGTAGTCATATTTGGAGGCAGGATTTACAACTCCTGGAAGTACCCTGGCAGCACCAAACTACAGGGTTAGGAATTTCAAATTAAAAAACACTCAAAATTGAGTTTTATGAAAAATTTTGAAAAATCATAAAAACGTCATATCTGGAAAACTTCAAAAAACACAAAAATTTGAGCAGTCATAATTGGATGCAAGGTTCGCAAACCGCGAGAGTACTCTGATAGTCCCCACAAAAACAGGGTTGGGAATTTCAAATTTTGAAGAAAAAAAAATTGTTTGCGTTTTCTGAAACTTTTTTGAAAAATGACAAAACACGTCATATCTTAAAAACTACAAGAATTTGAGCAATCATATTTGGAAGCAAGATTCGCAACCCCTGAGAAAACCCGACAGCATCCAACTACAGGGTTGGGAATTTCAAATTTTTAAAAAAAAGTTTGTTTGGGTTTTCTGAAAAATTTTGAAAATATCACTAAAAACATCATACGACAAAAACTAAAAGCAATTGAGCAGTAATATTTGAGGGCAAGATTTGCAACTCCTGAGAGTACCCTGGCAGCACCCAACAGCTTAAAGAATTTGAAATTTTGAAAAAAAAATGAATTTAAGTTTTTGAAAAATGTTTTGAAAAAATCACAAAAACCGTCATATCTCGAAAACTACAGCAACTTCAGCAGTCGTAATTGGAGTCAAGGTTCGCAACCCCTGAAAGTTTTCTGATAGCCCCCAACTAGTGTTGCAAAATTTCAAAATTTTGAAGAAAAAAATTAATTTAACTTTTTTTGAAAAATCACAAAAAAACGTCATCTCGAAAAATAAACGGATTTGAGCAGTCAGATTTGGAGCCAAGATTCCCAACTCCTGAGAGTACCCTGACAGCACCCAGATACAAATTAAAGAATTTCAAATTCTGAAAAAAAAAATATTTTAAAATTTTGAAAATTGTTTTGAAAAAATCACAAAAAACGTCATATCTCGAAAACTACAGCAACTTGAGCAGTCAGAATTGGAGGCAAGGTTCGCAACCCCCTGAAAACACTCTGATAGCGCCCAACTACAGGGTTGCCATTTTTCAAATTTTGAAGAAAAAAATTGATTTAATTTTATTTTAAATTTTTTTTTGAAAAATCACAAAAAACTTCATCTCTCGAAAGCTTAAATGATTTGAGCAGTCATATTTGGAGGCAAGGTTGGAGCCAGATAAAGAGAAAAAAAGATTAGAGACAACCGTTTGACAGTAGTATTATTTTAAACTGAATCGTCGAAACCAAATTGAAAGTTAAAAAAATAGTAGACGGGTAGACAGACATAATCAAATTAAATAAAAAAGCAAGTATACAGACAGACAGACAGACTTAATTTGGCCTCGAAAAAAAATTACTGAAAAATTAATGACCTTGCTGAAAACCAATTAAAAAAATTTCTTAAGCATTGCAATATATGACATAGCTTAAACATGAAAAAATTCTTTCGTTAAACATGCAAAATTATTATGCTTAAACATGGGAGATAGCTGTCAATAGCATTTAAATATAGTATAGATAGATATAGGTAGATAGATAAGTAGATCAGTCAGAATTTTCGAGTATCATATTATTTTGTATCATATTAAAATATTTTGAGGAAATGCCCAGAAATATGTCGGCAATGGTCTGGATTATGGGTTTCAAAAAGCGTTCCTTTTGATTGACCCCAAGATGATTCGTCTTATGACTTCCAGGATCATATCCGTTTCTGACCTTAGTGTTTTTTTTGCAGTTTAGGACAAAACATGGTCGGATCAAAAGTAGCTCCTACTTATTTATGATTTTTCTTAAGATGGTGAAGCTCATTATCAAACACAGAGGCGAAGCGGAGCTTTGCAACACTTGCAATACAAAGAAAAACATTGCGCTATAAGACAGTGAATGGAAAAACAGACGAAAGGCAAAAAATTGTGAAAACTTTTATTGAAGAAACTACTTGAAAAAAGTCGAAAAAACAACCAACAAAAACTACATGTTTGTATCGGAAGATATTTATAAACTGCCTTAAAAGCATTGGGAAAGGCTTTAAGAGCAAAAACTAAAGCAAAAAAATTGGGGTCGACCCCTATTGAGTCGAAAATACAACTGTTGTTAAAACATGTTTTTATAAAGTTTCACGCGTTTTCATGACCCATCCGTACTTAATCTTGCAATTTTAGTAAAAATTTCGGGAAGTAAACCGATAAAAACTGTAATAATATTATAAATGACATTCATAAAATAAAAACTAACCGACGAAATTTAAGACGAAAACCACAAATCCGAAAAAATCAAAAATTTCAAATATACGTATTTGGAAAATCAATTACTACCTTAAATGAACTCAACCTAATTACTACCTTTATGATAGATATTTTATTTAATATTTCAAGTACTTGAGCTGATGAGTAACGTGAAAGTAAACTCTAGCTATTTTACAGATTGCTAAAAAGAAAGTGTTTGAGAGGTTAAAAAAGTCTAATTCCAGGTTACAGGTACATGTGATCTCTCAAGTGAAAAGAGACATGAAGTATGTTGTTTAAACTTTGCTTATGAGTTAGCAAGGGCTCAGAATGAACTCCAGTTTAAACATCGCTAATCGCAACGGCATTGAAAAGTTTGAAGAATGAAGTTTAAACATCAAAACACGATAACTCGGAAGATGAAAAATTCAAGTTCTCGATCGAAAAACATATGCTCATTAGACGATAATGAGATTAAGTGTAAAAAACAGACTCTCAAGAGCTTTTTGGCAAAAACTTAAGAGGTTACAATCATACAGTGTAAAAAAGCATATTTCCTAAAAAAAAAAGAGCCTGCTTTGGCTTTTTATAAACAAATGCTGTCAGATGATTATCCTTTGCAAGCGATTAATCAGCTGAGAAGACTTCAGAACATTGTTAACCAAAAATTTTGCCCAAAAATGTAACTGATTCGAAAACCTATGAGTTCGGAGAAGATCTAAGTGCTTTTGTCTTATAAACAAAAAATTTTGAAATGAGTACATTTATTTCAATTTAAGGAATAAACAGCAATTAATGCTCATTTCATTCTGACTTTCAGTTGCTCAAGCTCGGGGCCTCTCCTTCTTTCCTTTGAAGATGGCCAAAAGCGAGACATTGGCGACTTTCACGATCTTGAACCGCACACCGGGAATATCTCCGACGGCATGACCCTTTCGACCAAATCCGGCAACCAGAACCTCATCGTTCTCCTCAATGTAATTGAGAGATCCGTCCCTGGGCACGAAAGCTGTGATCTTCTTGCCGTTTTTGATCAGCTGGACTCGAACGCATTTTCTGATAGCAGAGTTCGGCTGCTTGGCCTCCACGCCGACCTAAATCAGCAGACAATTATACAACAATCTTCAGATCCCAATAACAATGTAAATAAAACATTCTGATTTTTCAGCATTTTCTCCAGCTTTGTATACAATTCTCGTCCTTAATATCCACTCACAAAAAAATTACCTTCTCGAGTACAATTCCTTTGGCATGGGAAGCCCCACCAAAAGGGTTGGCTTTCAGAGCTGTTCCCAAATGTGACTTTTTGTAGTCTTTATCATTCCACAATTGAACACGTCTGTGGTTTCGCAGTTTGCGAGCGGTTCGGATACCACGTGGAGCACCTTTTCCCATAACGATCTAAAAACTATTTGTTTGCAAACACGACTTTTTTTGGTACAACAGAAATCAGCTCCGGACAAAGAGCTACTGAACAAAAATATAAAAAAGGACCCATCGCAATTTCTTTTCATCAGACACTCGAAAAAGAAATGGAGATGTAAGTCACCGTGTCGTAAGCCAACCCGTCAATTATAAAGCCAACGATTCCATAGACAATACAAGAATAGCCGGTTGCTGTGCACGTAGCACAGAATGATCCCAGTAAAATCCTAGCAAGAAAAAATACTTTTTTAATAAGTAATCAGAAGGTCATAAGTATCATAGTAACCGAGGTTACAGTCAGGAGTGCCTTCATCACGTATTCCAGTCAAGATCCTCGAAATTTTCTAGATATGGAAGTGATAATGATAAAAGAAGATGACAAGTGTTGATGTCCTTACAATTAAAATCGATACGGGTTACATTTCTTCAATAAGAACACGCAACTCGACACGAGAAAGTTTAATATACAAGTGATCCAAATAAAAAATTTATTTGGTCATTTACTGTTCTGAGTACGCAAGCGGCGTTCGCAATCTATACTGACAGGGAGATTCTGTTTTAAAAAGCTGCCTGCTCTGGGTTCCTTAGTGCATATGCTTAGGTTCTTACAAAGCTTTCTCAAATCTATACTGACAGGGAGATTCTGTTTTAAAAAGCTGCCTGCTCTGGGTTCCTCAGTGCATATACTTAGGTTCTTACAAAGCTTTCGCAATCTATACTGACGGGGAGATTTTGTTTTAAAAAGCTGCCTGCTCTGGGTTCCTCAGTGCATATGCTTAGGTTCTTACAAAGCTTTCTCAAGCGGCGTTCGCAGTCAAAAGTTATTTGGTCATTTACTGTTCCGAATACGCAAGCGACGTTCGCAATCTATACTGACAGGGATTCTGTTTTAAAAAGCTGCCTGCTCTGGGTTCCTCAGTGCATATGCTTAGGTTCTTACAAAGCTTTCTTACAGTGCATATGCTTAGGTTCTTACAAATTTCTTCTGTCGACACAGTCAAAGGTGGCGCTCATGTCAAGAAGGAGGAGGTGGAAATCACTGTCAACTCTCGAAATCGCTTTTTGAAAAAGATTTTTAACAGCGAAAACGTTCTCGGTAGTACTCCTGCCTGTTTGATAGGCGGCTTGTGACAGTGGATGTAACATTCGCCCAAATACTACACAGCGACGGAGCGTAGAAAAAGTACCTATTAACGACTGGCAGGCGTCAGTTACCTTAATCCTACTCGTTTTTCACCGTCTCGACCTTGCCAGTTGATTTTCTGGTCTGTTTAGGGCCAAGTAAAAAGTTACTATTTTTAGGCCAACAGTCAAACGACTTTTGATCAGCTTTCGTTTACATGCGAACACAACCGCATAGCTGAGTCTCGGATCCTCAGACTACGTGATTGTCATTAAAAACACGGCTCGAACAACCTATTTTAACATGTTTTTGTGTGACAGTTCTATATTAAATCCATTGGAGATGGATTGACCCTTTCCTCTTTCTAGCTACTCATATTCTAAAATATCAAATTATACCGGTGTTAATTTAAAGTTTCACGACATCCAAGTAGCTATACAGTCAGTTTTATACAGTCCCTTCACATAAAACAGTCTCTGGGGGACCAAGCCTCCGCTCCCGTAATATTCCTGCGATAACGCTCTTATCTCTTCTAATTTGCGTCCCGGGAGGGTTCCGTGGAATATTCCTTCCCCACCGAAGCTTCCTTCTCCACTAATATCCGCTGATAAGGGTCTTATTGTGCTTTGTTGCCACGATAAGAGGCTTCGTGTTTTTTGTCTCTTGTGCGACCGTTTTTCACACTATTTTGCGTTGTTCTGTTTTTTTCAGCTTTCTTGGTCAAAATGGCCGTTTTTCGTATTTCTGAGAAATATCAACTTGAAAATCGAAATTTTAAAAATAGAAAATTTCAGAATACTTCGACCCTCCTTTCAAGAACTTTTTTGCTGTTAAGGCCTTTTCTCTCTGATTCGTGCTTCGTCGGAAGGTTGCGCTGTGCCATCTGGCAGAATGGCACATACTCCCCGGACAGTCCCCATCAATGTCCCTATTGATCGCATAACACCGGTTTATCGTCAAGTAGTTATCCAGTTCTCTGTAATCAATCTTACAAATCGCATAAGAAAATGAAATTTATCTACCCCACCTCAACTCACTACGTGTTCACAAATGGCATCGTACCACATCTCACTGCCTTTTAACATTTTCACAAAATTTGCACCATGAGGAGTGTCCTAGATAAAATTTCTTTTCTGACTACTTACGTCGTCTTGCCATAAAATTTCTTTTTGCTCTTTGTGATTAAAAAGTGGGACGTGGCACGGCCACGCACCCGTTAAAATTAACTTAACGTCACTCACAAAGTATAATCAGTTATTTATGCGGTCCTTTCAATATTAAAACTAACAAACTCTGTGGCTAGGAAAGTTATTGAGTTACCCACCCTTCTCGAGCGAGTTTACTCAATCTTACCATGTCGCCACACAGTGAAATTGTGTCTTACACAGGTTAAAAACTTCAATCGTGTTTAAATAGGTAAATATACTCACCTATGTTCTATATATACATACATAAATAGTCATAACTAAAATTTCTTTTTCAACAATTTAACAATTGTAACAATTTTCAAAGTTTGGTTTGACCAAACTAAATCAAAACAAAAAGTTTAACAAGTTCAATAATCAAAACTTGGTTGATTGGTCCAAGTTTTAGCACACAAAGACAATCAAGTTTTTTCTCCTTCTCTTCTCTTCTTTGTTCATCTTCATTCCATCACTTCTCCATCTTGATCTTCAGCTTCGCTGTCTTCCAATACTTTCTCCAGCATGTCCATGGAGTTGCGGGCCGTGCCCCAACTCTCCTGTTCCAACAGCCTCGGTTTGCAACAAGGTAGCAAGTCAACATTAACCTTTTGCTCCCGGTTCCTGCAAAAGCTGTTGTGAAGACATAGGCTCACATTTCGTTCTAGGTCAGCTCTTAAGACCTCTTTCTTCCCATCTTCAGTTACACAAGGCGCCCCAGCTACCCGCTTCACCGCCGTGGTGACCGCGTTTCTGTGCGTCAGGAATGCTCTCTTATAGGTTCCTGGTCCTATATCTAGCTGGAAAGATTGATAGGCTTCCGTGTTCCTCGACATGTGACGCTTCGCGCGCTCATACATCCACGATGTCATCCTTGCACGGAACCAAAGCATCAATCTTTGCCTTGACCATATTCTTTCAATGGCTTTAGGTATTCTCGGAACCTTGCAGGTGGTTCTGAAAAGATCCAATTCATGACTCATCTTCACTTTGCTCAGCTGTTCAGGAGTCGGCACGGCCGTCTCCTGTTCACTTGTGTCCGCGTTAGCCTCCAGCCATCTCACTGCCAGCATGGCACTAACCACCACGATTGACACCTGTTGAATCTGATCGGGCAACCCCGTAGAGTACAACTCTTCCACGTCCCATACTAGCATCAGATTCCCGAGTTTGGGGTACCACAACGTCTGCGCCAAAAAGTGGCAAGGATACTCCCCATGGGTTCTCACTATGTCCCTTCGGGTCCGATACCCTGAGGCTCCCAGCAACGGTTCCACCTCCATCAGAATTCTGTGTGAGTCGTCTTTCTCTTCTATGGTGGGGAATTCAGTGGGTAACGCTCCACTCGCTTTCTGCTTCTGGAACTCACTCACATTGCCTTCGTTTAATCTCAGAAACTCTTCACCCACTACGTCTTGCAACTCGCCTTCAGATCTCTTCGGGACTGCCCGAAAGATCTTCGCCAATAAATCATGTGACCTCTCCGACATTCGGGCCAACCTTACGCACTTTGGCACAGAGAAAAGTTGGTCAATCAACACCTGCTGTGTCCTTGCATCCATCACCACCATGTGTGTAGGATATCTACTACTGCAATATGGTGCGGAGCTTGAACCCACCAGATATTTTGAACCAGTCGGTTTATGATAGGCCTCACTATCTTTCAGATTCATCTCGTTCTCCAGAGCTTCTCTCCAGCCTCCGATCTTCTGCTCCGTTTGCAATGCTCCAGGGAATACTTCCACGCTGAGGGACGTCACTAGCTCATGGGCACGCTCCAGGCGCTCAAGCGATTCAATCGAACTCCTCATGCTACAAAATCCCAAGGCTGTGATCAAGTTTACATCCGTCACCCCATGACAGTCCGCGACCAACTCCATGCCACTCTTATCCGACATGCTCAATCTTCCGTACAATCGTGCCAGTTGCCGAAGCTGCTCGCTCAGCGTAACCAGGCAGTGTCCCAGGTTACAAACATGTCCTTCCATCCCACTATGCTGAGCCAAACATGTGCCTTGCTTCAACCAATTGCTCGATGGACCTTCCTCGGACAGCTCCGTGGATGGGTTGCTCTTCCGCTTCGTCAATCTCATGGCCAGCGGATGATGTATCATGGCCAGATCATGCAAACTCGCGTCATCATCTAGGTCTAACGTGATATCCGCCGTCATGTCCCAGGTTAAGCCGGCGTTAGGATGAGGACACCAAGAAGGCTTCATGAGTTCCCACATCGTCACTAGACTGGTTTTCAAGGGACCGTCCCAAGAACTACAATCAAAACTCACTTGCCCCTTTAGCTCGGGAACCGAGGGTTCGACCACTCGTTCTTCCAAGATAATTCCCAGCTTGGGTTGTTCCACCATCAGCATCCCAGTTTCTTTAATACGTTCGACCCAGAAATTGAGTACTATGACTTGCTCATAGTCGAAGTACGCTTCCCTGGCTTCTTCATTCACGAAGGGATTATACGCCCTCCCCGGTATGCCAGACACATATTGGAACGACTTCAGTTTCCCTAGTGTTGCAAACTCTTTTTGTCCTTTGACTGCTTCAATCAACTCCCGGCTCACTTTCAATTCTTTGTTGGAACATCTTCTCACTTCTTCCAACTTGCGATAGCTCTCCATTCGACTCCTTATTTGGTACAGTCAACGGCATGTCCTGATATAGTTCCAGGAG